GTGCTTGTGGTTGTGCTTGTGTGTGTGCATGCGTGTATATTTTGTCTGTGCCAGTGTGTGTGTCTTTATGTGCCCGTATGTATGGGGGCCTAGGCATGTGTGCAAATGCATGTTCTTTTTACATATACATTTAGATATATGTACATATATCATGAAGAGGTGTAAAGGAGAATGAAGAACCTCAAAAAGTAAGAGGTATAATCAGTGTATTTTGATATGATCTCTCAAGCACTCATCAGTCACATAATTGAAGTTACCACAAGAGAAGATCATTTGAAGCTACTGAATATTCTCTTTATATTCTCCTCCATTTTGAAGTATGCCGCTTCTTTTCTCTTCTGTTTACATTAACCTACATGATTCACTTTTGCTTACTTTCAGTCAACCAGATCTTCAACTTCATTTATTTTCACAAGTTTGACATTTGAAGTTTTATGGTGATCTATGAAATGTTTGATGGATTGTAGTACAATAGAAAGAGAGCTTTTGACACCATTCTTCCTCCAGGTTAACCAAACCTTGTCATGGTTGGCATTCAACAGTGTCAGCATGATCACCAAATGACTAATGAGGACAATATCTACCTGGGATAACCATATGATATTTCAGTTGATAATATCTCGATTGTGGCCTATCTCCAATGTGGATAGTTGGGTGGGTTGGTGAGTGGGTTCGTTGGTGGGTAGGTGGATGGGTGGTTGATAGGGCATGCGTGTGCTTGTGGGAGTGCTGCCTAATAGCAAAATATTCAGTTTCGTCTATACACAAGGGTTTGAACCTTTGGTAGACCTCTCATGGGAGGGATACTTTCTCCTGCAGTTGAAGATATATTTCATGGGCTGAATGGATGTTATTCGTGTCAGCAACCACTCCTTTAAGAATGATGATGTATCTACATATGTCCTGGTCATACTACAAGTAGTGAACCCTTAAACAATATTCTGTTTATGTCATCAGCAGTAGAGGGAAATTTGAGATTATTTAGTCTATCAGAACTTTGAATCGCCTCTGGAATGAGAGTGGCAGCTTCAAAATGTCCAAAATCAGCATATTTTAAGTACTTTCAACAGTGTTGAGTCATGGACATCATTTAATAAATTAACTCTTGACTGATATATTTGAATCATAACTTTGCTTGTGTATCTGATTCTTAAGAAGATTGAAATTAGTCTAGTATGACTCTTGCTTTGTGAAAATCTCAGTTCTCATTTGTGGATTTCTACATTTGTCTTGCCGAACTATTCACATGCAGACGTGTATAAATAAATTAGTATTTTAGAGTATCTATGCATGTGTATATATATATATGTACATATGTGAGTGTGAGTGTGTCAGAATGATAGTGAGTTGAGAGTCAGAAAATTAATGGCTGTGGAGTGAATGAGAAAGTGAATGTGTGAGGGAGTGAATGAACAAGTGAAAGAGTGAGTGTGACTGAAAGTGAGTGAGTAGGGGCATGCATGTGCATGTCCAGTCATCATAGATAATTGCAGATGAACATAGACAAATGTAAATAAGCTTATATTCTGCTGAGGGTGACAAACATTTTAATGGAGAAATATTGTATATTTGTACATTTAGAAAAGAAATGTTCTCTATAATTGTCATATTATTTATTGGATGATTTACTTATACATTATTATGGGAGACCAGTAATGAATTGGTGTTGGGGACAATATTCTTTTCCCCCCTCAGTTGTCAGCTGATTTAGTTTTTTAAGTCAAACAGCTAGATTAATAAATAACAACAACTTTATATACTGTTTGCAAGAAAGGCATTTATGTATGATGACTTGTAGCCTGAATTTAGAGTAGATAGGTTAATGCTTTAGTTTTTATGGCAGCTAGTGTGCACCTTATTCACTTTCTGGATGGTGGAATATAAAAGAGAAAAAAGAAAAGCCTCATTCAGAAATGCAAGTTTGGAATTGGCCAGATAAAGTGTCCTGGAATTTGGTCTGTGATATTGAATAACTGAATAACTGATTGTGCTCATCATATATATCTTTCCATGTGCCTTTTTTCATATTCATATTTTGAGAAAAATGAGTAAATGCTTCATTAGAGCATTTTTTATTTTCATTTTTAATTTTTATTTTTCTTCTTCAATATCAGTGATAATTTTTTTTTCAAACCAATTCTTTGCTGAGTTGGGAACTCGTGGAAAAGAATGTGAAATCCTTGCTAGTTGGTTGTGCATTAGTATTAACAGGGAATGCTGTAGAAAATACTTATTTGCATTAGTCAATATTATTAGTAGTAGTATTACTATTGCTATTACTGTTTTTGCTTTTCATAAAAAAGTACAAAAAAAAGTAAATAAGATTATTTACTAG